AAAAATAAATTGTCAAACTTTGTGCAAGATTTAAAAAAATTCTTCAAAATTATCACAAAAACATTTTAAACTTTCCCAAAAATTAAAAAGAAAGTAACAATCGCTCACTGCGATTTAAAAATCTAGGAGAAAATGGTTCCCAGTCGAATGATTCTTGCCTAGCTATGTATGTATATGTATGTATATATGCAGCGGTTTCAATAACTATTAATTGTAGCCGTAACTCGCTGTCTCTATTAGCGATTGTCCATCTGCTGCGATAGATCTCCGGCGATGAATCGCTTGTGTAGGCCGCTCATCGCAAGGTTGTACTGTTAAATATGTAGTTAGTTTCACAGCTTCTTTTAACTTTAAATTTTGATGAAGTTGTGTTTTTCTATAATATAGTATATGCTCAAAACAACGTCGAGAAAGCCACTTTTGCGAATACAGTAATTTTCGCCAAGTGTCGTAAGCACTTTTTGAAATGAAGTTTTCTGTGGTACCAAAATTTCTATGCGATGAGCATTTCGCTTGCGATGAAACTGACAGATCTCCTGCGATAGCTGTATGCTAATGGAGACAGCAANGAAGTTTTCTGTGGTACCAAAATTTCTATGCGATGAGCATTTCGCTTGCGCTGAAACTGACAGATCTCCTGCGATAGCTGTATGCTAATGCAGACAGAGGGTAAGTAATTGACAACATATGTAGCTGTGTAAAATNGTACCAAAATTTCTATGCGATGAGCATTTCGCTTGCGATGAAACTGACAGATCTCCTGCGATAGCTGTATGCTAATGGAGACAGCAAGTAAGTAATTGACAACATATGTAGCTGTGTAAAATTTAGGGACGTTGGTTTAAACAGTTCCAGGGATAAGCGTTATGAAAAGTTCAGTGTGTATGAGAGGTACCACGCCCCCTTTTCTAATACCTGCCACTTTCCGTCATTAGCACGGTATTCAAAACATATATAGCTGTGCCAAATTTCAGGATGTTGCACAGTGGCCAATTTTTCGAAAAAGCTGGCCAAAAGTCGAAGCGTGGTACAATTGTAATCAAACCTTGCGTATTCGTCTTTATTTTGGTTGCTGGTTTTAAATTTCACCATATAATCTCGAAATTCATAATGGTGGATCCATAATGGCTGCTGTGTACGCTTAAAATAATCAGATTTTTAGCAAAACTAAGGTAGTTAAGTATAAAAGGTCATGTTTTCTGCTTTTTTGTTATATAATGTGATGTAGCGGTTAGCAATATACGCTATCATTCCGCAGGGCCTGGGTTCAAGCCCAGTTTGCGACCAACATCAAAAAATAAGAAACAAACAAGTTTTTTGTAATAAAGTCGCCCTTTGGCAGGCAATGGCAAACCCCCGAGTGTATTCCGCCACGAAGAACAGCTTCTCATAAAAATAAAATCCCCGTTCGAATTCGGCGTAAAACTGTTGGTCCCTCCCCTTTGTGCGCCAACATCAAGGCGCACGCCACAAATCGGAAGAGAAGCTCGGACAAATACTAACGAGGTCTTAATGTTTGTTTCTAAATATCTTGATGTTTAAATTTACAAGGGAACTGCGGAATTTTGAATGAATCAATAAACAATACATACATATTTGTTGGTACAGGAATATATTTTTGAGATAACAATTTTATACACCGTCAGACTCGCAGTCATCTGAAGTATCCAAGCTCATATCTATATTTTCTGATGGCAATTCCGCATCCGCATTTACAACAGTTGATAATAATTTAATGGCATCTGACGACAGTTTATGATTTTGTTTTGGTGGGTTTAAACCAGTGGCGGATCCAGCGGAGGGGGGGGTTGGCGGTTTGAAGGTTAAACTACGTGTCAGTCAGTA